AATGTTGTGCTAGGTGTGGCCATGTGTATTCATTTCACAGAGGGCGGCTTTGTGTATTTTCTTACAAAATGGCTGTAATGATGATTATAGCAGGTTAAAAAAGTACTGTCCTCCAGCTGGCAGTCCTTTCTAACTTGGAAAAAACTCTGAAAGCTCGTACATAAAAATATCTAAGCAGCTTCTCCACACAGCATCACAAGATAATATCAATTCATTTGGCTACATTGCAACATAGGTCATCCAAATTAGAAGAGCCAATTTCACATGTGCGTGCAGCCTGTCTAATAATATTTTCTCTATTAGATTAACAGTGAAGAGGCACAATTTGAGAGGTAAATCTATGCCTAAGATAATTATGACCAAATGTCTTCCTTAAAGTCTGTGGTCAGTAAGACACCATGGCTGGAATTCACCTCATCTAACATTGTATCTAAAATATAGACCCTTGGCTTCCAACAAAGAGGAATAGGCTCTTTTAGAGCACAATTCGCCTTACCTATTTTTAGCATCCTCTTTAAGATGAGAGGAATTGCACCTCAGAAATACCTCTTCGTTCAATTGATTAGGGTTTATAGGAGGGCAAACTCAGATGTGAATGACTAACGTGGATATCAAGTTGGATGAATCCTACCACCCCAGCTGATCATCTGAAATAGCGTAAGTAAGGCAAACAAACCCAGAGTTGCTACTGTAGTGTCCTCTGCCCAAGAGAGTGAGAAGAGGCAAAGAGTGGGCATGATTTCTGGCCTAGAAGAAGTATATGCAGTGCTGGGTACTGACTGCATTGCCAAAGTGCTGAAAGAAACTATCTATCTGCCCCAAGTAGTATTTAACGATGCCCTGCCCTTCACCAGGTGGTAAATTTGCTGTGACACTCTGAATTTTTACAGGGCGAAAGGTTATCAAGTAAGAGTCAGCGTGTAGACTTCATCAAAATAAATTTTGTTATTTAGGAGCTCTGCAGACAACTTTCAGGGTCTCTTCAACTGCTGCCTCAGAGCTGTAAAAGTCCCAGCTGCACATGTTTCAATGGCTGACTGAAGAATTACTTTTTACTTGTCCACTGTCAATTTAATCAGGAGTCACTTGAAAGGTTTAATTCTAGTTCTCCTGAAATCACCAACAGAACTGCTAGTACTGCAAAAATTAGCACTGTCATGGTCCAGCTGTGGAATAATGTCCAATAATAGATGGTTTACGAGCTACCTAAAAGGCCTGTAGAATTAACTGGAATATTGAAATAGTGTATAAAGCAGTTTCATCTCCTAGTAGAAATAAAGCCACGTCATAAAGCTCAGGGCCCTCAGCACACTTCCAAATACTGTCATGTTGGTCTTCTGCAAAATCATGGCATTATTTTCAGAACTTCAAATATATTCCTTTTACTTCTTCAGGAACTGGAGATTTCCCTGAACACAAATGGGCTCTTTAGAGACTCTTCACAAAAAGTGAGTGATCCATGAGAAAATAATGACAAAAATAGTACTGAATTATAGCATTATTTCTACTTTGAGAGAGGTCAATCAATAATTTTCTGGGTACACATTTAACTGAATTTTCCACTGTCTATGAAAGGGCTATGTTACATACCCTCACAGATATTTGACTCCCTTACAAAGCTGCAGTTTGGTTTTCAAAGGCCTTGATTATTTCTATGGATTAAACAGGCTGGGAAATCCTATAAAAATAAAATTAAACCCAGTATTGCAAATGGAAAAATGTTACTCTCAAGAGAAAGAGGTTTGTTTTTTTTTTTATTAAAATAGCACCGTAATAGAAAAGTATTTTTCAAGTGCTGTTTATGTTTGTAATTTAGCGGGTGGAGTCCTTGGGAGAAGGATTCCAAACTAAAAAAGTGGTGTTTTAGTGACTTTTCCAGGGATTACCTGTCTCTCATTGTCCGTTGTCCATATTACTGCCATTCCATATTCAAAAATACTCCACAAAGTTTTACAATGGAGATTTAAGTATATTTGCTGGAGAGCTGTGCCAAACATCTGTTTACAACTATCAAACCAAATACACTTCCACAAGTAAGACTATAAATCAGATTTGCTACAATATTTCCCAGAGCTCATTTACCTAGGGCAGTTATTTCTTTTGCAGAAAGAAGTCCAAATTTTGATTTTTTTTAAGAAAGCAAGAAGAGGAAGCGGAAGTGAATTTCCGAAGATTTAACTGAGTTTTGTTCATAGTTTTACAATATATTTGAGATCTGCAGATTTTATCTAAGTATATATAACAATAATTAGCTGAAATTAAAACATTTTAGTATCTTAAAGAAGCATGTATATAGCCAAAGGATACTTTAGTTCAACATATTCAAATGTTATCGGGGTGTAATTTGCTATATACTTCTCAGTGACACTGAATATTAAACATTATCATTTTAATACACTAAAAATTAGAGAAGTTAAATATCTATTTATCCATCACTTACAGTTAGGGTATTCTCTCCAATTACAAATAACTTAGGGTTATGCGTATCAATTTCTGCCTCTGCTGAGAGTTGTAATGTCTGGAAAGTTGACTGAAAAAGAAGTTACAAAGAAAAAAAAACGTGAAAGTCCATTAAAGGGCGAATCAAACAGAATATAGATATCCTAAAAAAAGTCTCCTGTATTGAAATGAAGCCTTCAGAAC